ATGACACCTTAGGTGATGAAAATATCTACTTTGGACTATTATTGTACTGTTTATAGGGTCGCGTCCGTGACACCATTCTTTTTACTTGTTTTAATATGCATGTAAGCACTGTATTGTTTTATCCTGGATGGGTTTCGTGTAAATAACATGTTGTGTTTGCTTCCGTTAGTTTGCCTTATTCACTCCATCCTGCAGTGTCCTGTAACTGTCGCCACTACCCACGGTCCGGGGCTGTGGTCTAAAGGTCGCTCTGTAACTCTATGGATCTCGATGAAACTATATGGGTCTCTGTGTAGCTATATGGATCTCTGTGTAACTCTATGGATCTCTGTGTGACTCTATGGATCTCTACGAAACTCTACGGATCTCTGTGTAACTCTACGGATCTCTGTGTAACTTTATAGATCTCTTTGCGACTCTATGGATCTCTGTGTGACTCTATGTATCTCTACGAAACTCTAGGGATCTCTGTGTGCCTCTATGGATCTCTGTGTGACCCTATGGATCTCTGTGTAACTCTACGGATCTCTGTGTGACTTTATGGATCTCTGTGTGATCCTATGGATCTCTGTGTGACTCTATGGATCTCTACGAAAATCTACGGATCTCTGTAACTCTATGGATCTCGATGAAACTATATGGATCTCTGTGTAACTCTACGGATCTCTGTGTGACTTTATGGATCTCTGTGCGACTCTATGGATCTCTGTGTGACTATGGATCTCTACGAAACTCTACGGATCTCTGTGTAACTCTACGGATCTCTGTGTGACTTTATGGATCTCTGTGCGACTCTATGGATCTCTGTGTGACTCTATGGATCTCTGTGTGACCCTATGGATCTCTGTGCGACTCTATGGATCTCTGTGTGACCCTATGGATATCTGTGTGACCCTATGGATCTCTGTGCGACTCTATGGACCTCTACGTAACTGTCTGAGTCTCTCACCACGCCCGGGCTCTACACAGAAACCCGATCTGCCCGTGGCAGTGCCTGGGAGCCACGACGTTTATTTTGGGACTCCGTAGGTGGCAGCGGAATATCACTGGAGCTCACGTTGCCACCACACGCCCTGGAATATTCTCTGCGGGATTCCGGTTCAGATCTATAACGCGATAAACGTGCACGATGTGTCACGGGAGGTACAGGCGCAGCCCTGCAATTTCTTGCTCGTGCCACTGCTGGCGGAAAGGGCCTCGACTCTCGAGGGAGCTCCAGAGGGGGGGGGGGGGGGAGCTACCTCGAGACGGGTACTTCGCGCTCCTCTTCCACGCCGGCCAGAGGTCTTGGAAGAGGTCGGAGTACCCACGCTTTACCCCACCACACGCGAAGTGCCGATTCAACCTCACTCTGGCGTGCCCTTTTATGGTCCTGCCCAAGGCGGCAGGGGCGGATTTAAGAAATTCGCGACGTCGTTTTAACATCCGTGCCGGCAGATGGAATCGAATCGGCGACCTCTGGATGGAAGTGCGGGGCACCGATTCATGACTCCGCTGTGGTATCTTGCAGCATCTTACTGTAGTGACGTGGGAGGTTAGCGGAAGTCTTCTATAAGTCCTCAACATGATTGGAGCTCATCAGTGCACTATGCTCGGATACAGACTGCCAAGCCTCATAGTGTTAAGTAGGGCTTCAACATACGAAGACCTCATCAGTTAGTCATGCCCAGATACAGACGAACAAGTCTAGTTTACTGTTGCAAACGTCCTCAATATAATTGGGGATCGTGAGTTAGCCATGCCAAGGTACACATCGCAAAAGTGTCATATAGGGCCTCAACAAATTTAGAACTCATCAGTGAGTCATATCCAGATACAAAAAAGACCTTAACATAACCACGATGAGGTGCTCGCAAGATGGGAGACCACATATGTATTTCACCCTTATAAGGAATCATCAGTGAGTCATATCCAGATACAAAAAATACCTTAACATAACCACGATGAGGTGCTAGCAAGATGTGAGACCACATATGTATTTCACCCTCATAAGGAATCATCAGTGAGTCATGCCCAGGTGTATACTGCCGAGGCTGGCTAAAGTGCGATACAGGTCCTCAACGTGATGAGCGCTCATCATTGAACCACGCTCAGAGACACGACTGCTAAGGCTAATTGAGTGTTATATCGGTCATCAATATCGTTGTGCCTCAACATTGATGCTCCGATAGAGATTGACAAGAGCAGCCCAGATTATATGTGGGTCCTCATGGTCAGTGTGACTCATCGGCGAGTCATGCCCAGCTATTGGTTGCCAAGGACAAGCAGCAGCGGGAACCGCAGTGAAGTCGTTAAGATGCAGGCACATTCCTGAACGTGACGGCGATGTTGATGATGCCGATGCTGATTATGACGCTGATGATGATTATGACGCTGATACTTATGACGCCGCTGATGATTATGACGCCGCTGATGATTATGACGCCGATGATGATTATGACGCCGATGATGATGATGATGACGCCGATGATGATGATGATGACGCCGATGATGATTATGACGCCGATGATGATTGTGATGCTGATGATTATGACGCTGGATGATGATTATGACGCCGATGATGATTATAACGACAGTTTATTTTAAGCAGGACATTTGCCCTAAAGATAATGATGATGTTTAACTCGTTTTACCCTGCTGATGAGATCCAGAATGTCAAAACCCCGGTCTCCAGTTCACTTGCTTAAACAAATGCTGCTGGATAATATTGGTGTGGAAAGCCGCTCGGCTGATGGCTAAGACACGCCTGTACTTGTACATGGCGAGACGCAGAGCAGAGTTGTGCGCGTATTTGATATTCATAGCATCACGATGATAACGATGATGAAATGCTTGAATTTAATTAGGAATTTTCTCTTGAGATGAAGTTGATGATAGTGATGATACCCTTAACGTGAAGATGATGGTGATGATCGTGATGATGATCATGATAATGTTCATGGGAAATGTTCTTTAAGCAAAACAAACCTCGCCGAGTCTCAACACTCTTCTCAGGAAAGTACTACCTACGGAATGTACGGTCGATTACAAACTGTAGCATGCCTGTCAACCCCTTCTCAGTGCCTACCTTATTTCAGACCTTATTGGTCACCCCGTGCCCTTATAAATGTCAACGTTCACCCTACAAAATCACAAGGGAGAAAAACAAACAAATAATACACGTTAAAAAAAATGTTTGCCCGTATTGAAACGGTTGTACGCCGTAATGGACCTTAAAACTCAATTTCCCTGTACAAGAATACGGGTTAAACCATATGGGTTGACATGGCCTGGTATAGTAGTGTAGTATTGTGGCACACGTGGCTCGCCGTTTGACCCGTCACCTTCGAGAGAACGGTTAGAGGGCTGCTCTGCCACCCGCGGGGTAATCCACTGCTAGATGAAGCTCTGTCCCACGCCGTTGTCAGTCATAGGCATGTTTTTAGCCATACTTCACCAGGCTGGCCAGCACGCTCTGGTGAGAGGGCTCACTCCATGACGGGTTCAGATTGTCACTCGCCACTGACGTTAGCCGTGGCCGCTCCCCGCGGTAATTCATTCATGCGGGGCGTTAATTACCAAAGCACGCCGACTGGCTCTGAGATACACGTTAAAGAGCTGATTGCGTCATTGTTTGCGGCAAGAGATTTGTCAAGTTGCTGTGTCACCCCGCTGTGTCACCCCACCGCGTCACCCCGCTGCGTCACCCCACCGTGTCACCCGCCGCGTCACCCCGCCGTGTCACCCGCTGTCACCCACTGCGTCACCCCGCCGTGTCACCCGCCGTATTACCCGCTGTGTCACCCCATTGTTACCTCGCTGTATTCACCCCACCGTGTCACCGTGCGGTATCACCCACTGCGTCACCCCATTGTGTCACCCCGCTGTAGTTGACCGTGTTACAGGCTACCCTCAACGAGAGCGAATTGCAATCGCAAGTGCAGCGCTGTTGTTGCTGCTGCAGCTGACGGCGATAATGATGCTGATGATGTTTGCGAACGCTGCGACTGCGGCTGCTGCTGCCGATGATTATACTGCAGCTGCTGGAGACGCGATGGTTCTGTAGCTACGATACTGCTAGCTACGACGGTGATAACGACATTGATGACGATGTTTGTTTATGCTGCAGATGATGATGATCATCATCATGAGCATATATAATAAGACTGCTGAAGATGATTGGGATGATGACTATGCTGATGTATTCCTGATGCAACCGCTGATTGTGCTTATGAAGATAACGTACGGTGATGCTACTTCTGCTGCTGCTGCTGACCGATGATTCTGCAAGTGCTGCTGCTGCTGACGATGGCAGCAAAAAAAGAGGATGATGATGGATGCTAAGGCTGCTGCTGCTGCTGTTTCTGTAGCAGAGACGCTAATTTTAAAGAGCCACACTCCCGTAACGCGCCCGGTAAGGCGTCTACTAAGCGAATCAACCTCAACCCCTGCCAACAGAGACCCCCCCGTCGCCACACCTCCCTCCCTACATCACTCTCCTCCCTTCATCCCTCTAACCCTCAATCCCCTCCACTCTCCCCGTGTCTTGCCATCCTTCATCTCACGCATCCATCATCCGTTCATCCCTACTTCCATCCCTCACTCGAACCCTCGTACGCGTCATCTGCCTTGTGTCTCTCTCCCTGCAACCCTCTAAACACCCCCACTCGCTCCCATTCCCACCCTCCCTCTCACCCACCCTCCATCCCTCCTTTCATTTATCCAACCATCCCTTACATCCCTCTCTCCCAACCACCCTGCCAGTCGCAATCCATCCTTTCTACCCTGCCTCTCATTCTCCCTCCATCCCTCTCCTCAATTCCCACTCTCCCTCGATCCCTTTCATCTATTCCCATCCTCCCTCCATCCATCCCTTCAATCCCCCCTCTCACCCATTCCCACCCTCCCTCCATCTCTCCCCGTACACCCGCCCCGTGTATCTCTCTCCGTCTCCCTCTCACCCACCCACCCACCCTCATTCTAACTCTCCCCCCTCTCTCTCTCTCTCCCATTCCCCTCCCTCCTCAGAACCAAACATTTTTTCCAAACCAAGTCACGTTCGCTTGCTCGGAAGCGCCAGGACGCGACCACGCGCTTGGGTATTCCGTGCACAGAGCTGATCGGAGCGCCGCTCTCTCTCTGTGCTCTCTCTTTCTTTCTCTCTCTCTCACACACACACAGCTCCTCTCTCCCTCCATCCCTCTCTGTCTCTGCGTGTCTCTTTTCTTCACGCACTGCCCCACAACAACCACCACCACCTACAACTGCAGCAGCAGCAGCAACTTCGCATCTTCCGAGTGGACTTACAGCGTCATGGGTGAGTGGCAGAGCGCATTGTTCGGTTTGCTCTTGCCATCTTTGCAATGTGTGTACGCATGCTGAACTTCTTTCGCGCCGTACGTAGCCAACCGTTTTAATCGGAGGTGCGGGGGAAGGGCAACGAAACTAAACGCAAAAAAGCAGTTCTAAAAAAAAAAACGTTGCTGGTGTGAAGACGATAAATGATATTGACGCTGCTGTTGTTGTAGTAGTACATGTATACACTGTATGTGTATACATAATAATACAAGAGGTGCCGTGTTCATTGACGGACGTGGTGGTAATGAGACGCCGTGAACTTGACGCACGGCACGGTTCGGGCGGTGGTGGGGGGTGGGTGGCGCCCTTGATGCGCGTGTTTACATTACAGCAATTAACGCAATTGATTTGTGGGTGGGTGAGGTGGGTGGAGGGGGATTGGGGGCTGTGGGGGTTGAGGGAGGGGCGTGGAGAGCTCTGGTGGGTTAGTAGTGCGTATGTCGAGGGATAGGCAGAGATTAGGAGGGCAAAGCTGGCGCTGAATGCCGCGACAACAACAGCATCAGCAGCGTCGGCACCGAGGATAAAGCCACCCGACTCGAAGGGAATTAGCCAATGAACTTGCCGCAGGAGCCTCCTGCGAACGGCATCGCGAGACTCGAGCGAGGCTTTCGTAGCTCAGAGAGGTGACGTCACCGTTGTTGTTGTTGTTACACAATAGCAGCCGCCCCTAGATAGGCACCATCGCCTGAACGCGTGCGATCTCGTCGGACCTCGGAAGGCAAGCAGACGCGAGCTCGGTTAGCGTCTTCGATGGGATACTGCCCGGCCACTGCTCGGGGCTACGAGGTGGCTACGCTGATGGCAGTAACTGTGCAATGAAATTATTGAATCTATCTGTGCGGAGCTTTTGAGCGCGGGAGTTCCTGCGGGTTCGCTGGTTGAAGCCAAAATGATCGTTGAACGGAATTGGCCGAACATTCCGATGTGACAGGATACAAGTGTGAGCATAGAACAACAACTGCAACAATGCCGACGACGACAACAACATCATGAGTTAGAGAATGTGGCACCTCGATTTTAAATGAAATTGGCCAAACATCTCCCATGTAGCAGGACCCTCCTGATTTAAAGAGTTCTGGGAGTGGGTGAGAATGTAAAAGCATAAAAGACATACGCGCGCGTGTTTATCCGAACATATTTAAAACAACAACAAACACTTTAACCACAACAACAACAGCAGAAGAGGCGTATGCACAGGTCACGGATGGGGGACTCTTGACGCGTGTACAGGGGAGGATGGCAGAGCGGGTATTTATGGCTCATGAGCAGTAGACCCTCCCAGAACGGGAGACCTGTGCTTGGGCTATTTTCGTACGTACGCTCCTCCCTTCCAATTTCTCGCCGGTCACGGCTAACGTTAGTGGCGAGCGGTGACTGAACCCCATCCCGTCAGCACCACCGCCTCCCTCCCCCGTAGCCCACCCACACGCTCACCCACCCCTTCATCACCCCGCACTAATCGTGGGGAAATATGGTTAAACAACCCCCATGACCGACGTGGCGTGGGGAAAGCCTCCATCGTTACATGTCCCCTTGATCTGTTCAGAACCGACACTCATTTGGCCTCCCATTGTCAATTGCTTTTCCGGCAGTGCCTCGCCGAGTCCCAAGGCCCTCTTTTCATGTGGCTCCTGCTCTATTAAGATAGTGAGATATTTGGGTCAATTCTATCTCGAATAAGAATGTGCCTTCATGCGGGAAAACGCCGGAGAAATCCCAACTCGCACACACATACATACATATGGCGGGGGGGGGGGGCAAGAGTCAAAGTTCCGCACAGATGGATTCAATTATCAATTTCTGCACCATCTGCTGGCCACCTCGCAAACCGACAAAAGACTAAAACTAAAAAAACTCTTTTTTATTTTGCCAGGCAAGGCCCACTGAGCTACGTGGCTTTTCAGAAGCGACCTGGCCACAAATGATAGTTCAACGACGTGGCTTATCAGATGGAAATGTATAGCAGCCAAATACTCTGAAACGCATGTTGAGTCAAAATGTGGAGGGTGCAAACCGGAGGACCCGGATAAAAATCCACGCCACCACCACCACCACCACGGCGAGAGGGAGGGAGAGACGCGCAAACTCTAAATACACAGCAGGCGTCAGGGTCGGGGTCGAACCCACAACCTCCTGTACACCAGGCGAGGTAGTTAACATCTCGCCAACAGCCATTGAAAGTACTGTACTAGCCAGGCTCAAAACATGCTGAGCTTTTGACGGGGGGGTCAGGCGCGTTCCGGATGGTTTGCTCGTAGGCGCGAGACACGCAGAACAATTGGGGCGCTGTTGCGGGTTTAATGCGTTGGCAGGGGGTGTTTAGTTTAGGCCGCAAGCAAACTCTGTGTGTCGGCGTCTGTGTATGTGTCCCCTTGTGTCAGGCATTCCCCCTCTCTCACTCTCACTCCCGGGTTCTCCGTGTGCTTATTGACTATGCTGTCATCACGGTCAAAACAGCAACGGAGCTGTTGTGCTTCCACATTTCAGCCCTGTCGTGTAAGGCACTTCGTACACGCACCCCACACTGATACACAGATGAAGATCACCACCCTGTGTAGCCTTAATAAATCGTTGGGGCAAGGGCCGTGAGCGAGCACCTGTGAAGGTCGGGGCGTCAGATGAAGGGGGTGGGTGGACAGCACCACGCCCGGCCGCCTTTGTCTCCCTCGTGGCGATTATTACACACCACACCAGGTGTGGTCCAGCAGCACGCCCGAACGCCTTTGTCTCCCCAGTGCTGTTGTTTACCCGCTGCACCAGGTACAACTCAGTTAAAGCTGAGTCTACCTAGGGGGGGGGGGGGGCTCAGATTTCCGTTACTGAAGTTGAAGTTGGCGGTGGAGCGTAGTGCGCTAACCATTACGACACCGCTCCCCACAAACACACACACGCGCGCACACGTACAAAGATGCCCCGTATAGCCTTAACAGACTGTTGGGGCAAGTGCCGTTAACGAGTTCCAATTAAGGTTGGCACGAGGGGCACGTACCCACAAAAGACAAAGATCCCCCGTATAGCCTTAACAAACTGTAGGGGCAAGTGCTGTTAGCGAGCACCTATGAAGGCCGGCACGTCACTCAAGGGGGTGGGTGGCCAGCACCGCGCCCGGCCGCCTTTGTCTCCCCAGTGGCGATGTTTTCACAAAACCGCACCAGGTACTCATTCGAGCTTGAGTTAATCTAGGGGAGGCCCAGGACCGGTTCAGATAATCGTCACCGGTGTTGGCTGTGAGCGGGAATCGAACTCGGGTCGCCGGAACAACAAAGACCCCCCGTATAGCCTTAACAGACTGTTGGGGCAAGTGCTGTTATCGAGCAGCATCTTTGAAGGCCGGCACGAAGCACGAGGAAATGGGTGGCCAGCACCACGCCCGGCCGCCTTTGTCTCCCCAGTAGCGATGTTTCCCGGGGCGATGTTTACACATATGGGGAGAGACATCGCCCCAGGAACTCTTTTGAGGCTGAGTCGACCTCAGAGAGGTTCATGGCTAGTTCCCGCAAGCGGGAATCAAACTCATGTGGCAGGGTACACACACGTGCAAAAATAAACCACAACAACCATTCTTGCACGAACCCTCACCACCACCCACCATTATCACCCCCACCTCTCACTTCCATCCCTCACCGCTACATCCTCATCCCCACCTCTTACATCCATCCCTCACCCCGACACCCTCACCCTCACCCCTTACAGTCATCCCTCACCCCATCCCACGCTCACCCCCCACCCTCACCCTTTATAAGAACTCGAAGAGCGCGGTTGCGTTGGAGGCATCGCTGAGTCGCAACTGATTTCGTATGCAGGGCACGTGCACGGCGCAGTGGGGAGCAGAGAGAGAGGGGCAGAGAGAGAGAGGGGCAGAGAGGCATGGGGAGAGACACACAGAGAGGGAGGCATGGGGAGAGCGAGAGGGACAGAGAGAGAGGCATGGGGAGAGACACAGTCAGAGAGGCATGGGGAGAGCGAGAGGGACAGAGAGAGAGAGGCATGGGGAGAGAAAGAGAGGGACAGAGAGAGGGGCATGGGGAGAGACACACAGAGATAGATGCATGGGGAGATGGAGTGGGACAGGGAGAGAGGCATGGGGAGAGACAGAGAAAGAGGTATGGGGAGAGACAGCGAGGGGGGACATAGAGGGATAGAGGGAAAGAGACGGAGAGGCAGTCAGAGAGAGAGAGAGAAGAGGCACAGACATACAGATATATACAGAGAGAGAGCAACAGACAATACACAAATCGTTAGAGAGAGACTGACAGAGGCACACAGGGACAGACAGACTTTTAAACAACTTTTATTGCCGCCAGCAGCAAAAGCACTGGAGGCGATTTAGATATGAAATAGACAAAGTCACCAGCAAACAATTGCAAATGAACGTTACAATTCCACGCGCTGTGGCGCTAAAAAGCACCGCGCACAACATGAAAGAAAAGTCACGTGGTGGTGGTCATTCGCGCAGGCCACGGTGACGAGCGAGCGCTTCAGAAGGTGAACATGAGGGTGCTGTCCACGCTAGTACAGAGGGCTTTTCAGGCTCCCCAGCGTTCGAGGAAGACGTGCACATCACCGACATGTGTGTGGTACGCGTGCTCCAGCCGGAGCCGCGCCTTAAGCAGGCCCCTGAACACTGGAAGCACAGAGCAGCCGTCAGTGTCACCTTCCAGCATCTTTTTTCTGAGCATAGGCGAAGTTGGCGAGGTCATTGCGTTTGTTAGCCAGGTAAGGCACCCCATATACGAAGCTGCTGTTGTAGAAGGGCACCCCCAGTTTCATGAAGATGTCCCCCAAAAGGCGGAACATTGGTTTGAGCCGCTGGCAGTGTAAGTACTGGTGGGGCAGGTCTTCCCTGGCACCGCAGGATATGCACCAAGTCTGTTACCCCTGGCGAGATTCGGCTGAGCCACACGGCCGATGGCAACGTGCAGTGTGCCAACCTACACTGGAGGTCACCGCAGCGTT